AAGTCATAGAGTTTAAAGGCAACGCTAGCAGATACTGAGGAGATGGATGGAAACTTCTGTTCTCAGCTGGTTTATATTTTTCTACATCCAGTTGTTTTGCGTCTTGTTTCTTTCTTGCTGTTGCGTTTTTTTTCTCTGATGTCAGCTCAGCGATCAATAAAGTTTCATCTGATCTTGTGTTTTCTGCGTCGAGACATTTTCAGATTCAGAGAAACAGTCTTAATAAGGGGATCCATCAGCTGCAGGAGGATTTAACTTCCTGTGTGACTCTGTGCTGGTGGGTCCGGCCTCCTGTACAGAACAGTGAGGGCGGTGATCACACTCGGCCCATGCTGCCACCGTCTCTGCATGTTCTCTTGTCTCCACCTTCATCCTTCGTCTACAAACTTTCTCCCGGCGCCTCTCTCTCCTCCCGTCTCTCCCTCCCTCCGAACTGTCTCTAGGCAACAGAACAAAAGGGGAATCACCACGACTACGGTGTTCTGGTGCAGCTCGGCTATTTAAAGCAGAACTGATGTAAGAGGCGGAACATCGAGTTTCACTGAGGGAACATCGAGGAGACGTGTGACGCTGCTGCAGCTCGCTGCCTGAATCACCTCCAGGCTTCTGCAGGAAGGTTTCAGGAGGTGACGACTGGAAGCAGGAGCTGGAACTTGTCTGCTGATAAACACATGAAGTCTACGAGTTCAACAGGTGGCAGTTTGTTCTGTGTCTCCGTCCTTCAGCGTGGAGTCAGGAAATAAATAAAGTGCCCACATTGAATACAGCCGTGACTCCATAATCGACCCGTAACGATCCAGAACCTTGCTATCCAATAGGTTTCTAGGAAAAACCAACAGAACCCATAAAAACAGCCTTAACATAGCGACAGCCTTGGATTCTGACTCCGACATGACATTTAATGTCACCAATCAGGATAAGGGCGTATTATCTGACTGAACAATCCCACAGATTGGCTACGTTCACGCTGCAGGACTTGATGCTCAATGAGGATTTCTTTGTGAGTTCGTTCACATTTCCAGCTAAATGCGACACAAAAGCCGTTAAACCCGGTCGCCGTCGGAGACAAGATGAAGAAGCAGAAACAGGAGAGCCGAGGTGACGAGCAGCAGGAGGTGGAATCAGACGGAGAATCAACGGGCGGCTGATTCAGCTGCAGCTCTGCAGAAACCAGGACCAGATTAAAACCGGAGCTCTGTGAGGAAACTAATCCCTCCGGCCGCTTTAACCCACGGCTGCAGCCTGATCTGAAACCAACCTGCAATCACTGAGGAGCAGCTGGAGGTCAAATCCCCCCAACAGTGGAGGAAAACACTGTTTCTGGGGGTAAAAGAAAGTCAATAAATAAAGCAGAATTTAAATTTCCTGCCAGTCTGAAACAGTATCTGCTCATTTGATGTTTCTGGGGAATCAAAATGTTCATTTTTTAAAACATCAGTTTGTTTTTTTGTGTTTTATTCAGATTTACTGACGTTACCTGTTGGTTTAATATTTAACATTTATGGCTACCAAGTCGTATAAAAAGCTGAGCCTCCTGGAAGACAGTGAAGTGTTCTTATTGCATATAAAAAAGTAAATAAATAAGGAATATATTTATCTGTATCGCTGAAACGATCAATTTATTTTGTCATTACCCAACTGCAGACATGAAATATCAGTAATAATGGTCGTATATGTGACGGGGAACAACAAGCTCCTGATATTTAACCACATAAATACCAGTTAACTAAAATATCTCAACTCATATGAAATGTTTTACCAGCTACTGTTAGAATATTTAAATGAGAGATGGTTAAATGGTTCATTTTGACTCTTTTACATAACTAGTGAGTCTATTTCAACACCTTTCGTCTCTAAAGCTGCTTTCACAAAACTACTTCCTGTTGCAGATCCAGCTAACTGGACAACCCCCTAAAGGACGACCTTTACTGAAGCTGCTGGAGATGTAAGATCTTATTCAGCAGCTTTGAGTCTGAATTAAAGTTTCCACCAATCAGCAAAAAAATTTTTTTTTAAATGGAACTTCAAAAAACTGCAGTTCATCGATTGCCCACTTGAGGCAGCCTCCTAAACCAGTCCACACACCTCAGGGTTAAAATGCCAGACTGAGGAAAAAACACATTTACAGCCTGAAAACAGAAACACTTTTGGTCTCTACAGCTTCTGTTCCTCTTTGTGCAGTTGACCTGCTGGAAATACTGTTTCAGAGCCGTCCGGTCTAAATCGTATTCTGCAGGAAACAGATGGGAAATGTCACAGAGTTTTTGTCTATTTCCATTTACAGGATGTAGTCTTTGGTTTTTCACAGATGTGTTTCTGCTGTAAGTTGCTGTAAGAGTTCAGAGAAAGCAGCGGGTGACTCTGGAGGTTTGCTGTCGTCCTAATCAGAACTTCTGCCACTTTACATGCTGTTTTTCTACCTCCTGGACGTCTTCCCGCATGGATTTCAAAACAAGGCAGAGTTGTGTAGAATGTGTGTCATTTCATAGGCTATAAAACATGAGCAGCAGCTGAAGTCCTGTTTCAGGTGAGTCTCTCTCATCTTTCTGCTTCGGCGATGGCAGTTTACATTTTTGGATTCCATCACGTTGCACTTTGTCCCGTTAAACTAGCATTTTAATCTCAGCAAAAGTGTGAAAATGAGTTTTGTTGCTCCTTTAGCGTTGTGTATCTGACCTCTGGACGTCAACGAGTAGGATTAAAGAAACAAAAAGGTAATAGGTAAGTTCAACATTTTACATTTGGGTAATGCAAAAGCAACTGGAAACCCTGTATTCTCTACATGATGCAAGAAGATGTGTCGTAGGCCAGCTGCAGTACCTGGTTGTTCCACCAGGTGGCGCCTTTTTTTGTTTTGTCGTGTCGAGAGGAGGTGTTGCTTCGCTTAGAGTTCATGTTGTGTTGGGAGCGGATTGTGTTGTTGTAGTTTGGCTGTGTCGTGTTGTTTTGTTTTGGTTTCTTTTCGTTTTGTTTTGTTCCTTTGTTGTTTTGTTTTGGTTTAGTTTCTTTTGTTTGGAGACTTTATTTTTTTTCTTTTCTTGTTTTTTTTTTTTTGTGGATGATTCAATTCTGAGAAAATATGAACAAGTTTTGAGGATTTTGGACCAATTCTGAGTCGTTCTGGAGAAGCATCAAGATGTTTTCGTCACGTTTTGAGTTGAACTGCAGTACCTGGTTGTTCCACCAGGTGGTGCCTCTCACTGTTTAATCCTTTGGAGACCAGAGACGCCTTGACAAAGACCTCTGAGACGTTTCATGGCCTCTGAGCAGAGCTTGTGTGGTTAAGGCAGACTGGGACCAACCCGGATAGCGTTCCTGTATGTAAACTATGTGTTTGTTAGCTAAAACATTAGCATAAAGAAAATGTCCAGTGTAAGCAATGATTGACTGACAGCACTGCTAACTTTTAAAATTATTCATCGTGACTCAAACTGTGCTCTTCATTTATGACTCTGGTCTATCGTCAGCTCACGATGGGGCTCAGATTAAACACGATACCGTTAGACTGGATCTGGACATCTGTTCCTGTAAATATTACGATAATTATAATCCGGTGTGACCACAGGAGGAAGCTCCGTCTTTAAGCCAAGTCTTACCATCTTGTACAGGTCCGAAACGCTGATCTGGTCCTCGTCCACCATCTCGAACTCCTTCCTCGGCACCAGGTCCAGACCCAGGTGTCTGAGGGAGACAGAGACCACCGTCAGTGTCTTTAATCTAAGCTTCACACAAACCAGCTCCTGTCAGGACACAAACCTCCACAACAGACACTGAGTTAAAGTGATTTTAGAGGCGGCCTCCGGGGATATTGTTCCGGAGGATTACTTTCTGTTCAGTCTCAACAACCACATCTTCCCCCTGCAGGCCGCCGACCTCCGTCCTAAAGACGGTGTTCTGAGAAAACACCGAAACTGCTTCTGAAGCTGCGACACTAAACGTCTGTTTGTGTGTCAGCGCTGCAGAGGAAGGCCGGATGAAGAACATCATTTCTGGGCTGATACGGGTTAAGAAGTGGGAACTGAAGGTTTTATCCATCGCAGCCGTCTCTGTTTATACAAAAGAAATGTGAGAGGAGCAAAAAATGGAGTTCAGAGGTTCTGTTGTAATGAGAACGTTTTGATTCATTGCAGATCCGACGTGTATGAAGTTATTTGTGTGTTTCCAGCAGCAGGAGCTTATCGGCCTGTGATGCACCTTCCAGCTCCAGCTGCTCTTCTTCCTGATGTTCACCTCTCTCAGCAGCTGGAGACCCAATCATCATCTATCTGCTCGCCAACATCAGCAGCATCTCGTTCGCTTGTTTTGTGGCGTCAGACGGTCGCGTTCACTCCGTTAGTTCTCAGTGTGGCAAACCAGCGACTGGAGAAACATGTCGGTTCTACATTAATGCGTTAAATATCCCCATCAGTGTATAATCACTGCTGATAAGCTCCAGCTGCACCAGCAACATCACCTGTCCGCTCTGCTGTAGCGATATTACCTGGATGCTTTGGGAGGCAGTAAAAACACCCAGCGGTGCCCAAATAACTTTGCTGCTATGACTGTAATAACAGCTCACGTCGTCCTCCTTCAGTCTGTTTCAGCAGAGTGCAGCTTTTAATAACCGTGAACAGTCCCGCGTCGCCTCCCGCCCGCTTCTCCAGCATTAATAACTGCATCCTGAGGCAGTGGGCAACTCTTCTCCATTTCATCTGTTTTCCATCAGCCTCCAACCAGCTCCCATGAGCCTTTTCAGCGGCTTCGTCCACCTGCCTCCAGTCACGCCTCCGTTCGGCCCGTGGAGGCGTCACTCAGAGGGCAGGGCGTCTTCACAGAGCCGTGGTGGACGTCTACGGTAAACGTGTGCTAGATGCTGCCATGTGGTGGACGTCTACGGTAAACGTGTGCTAGATGCTGCCGTGGTGGACGTCTA